ATGGGATATGCAGCAGGATATCTGCTTGAGTTGTTGGCTTAAAGATACCAAAGCCTACACTTCTGCTTATGGTGTAACACCATTGGTCGTAAGCCAGCCTTGAGCAGCGGCAGGATTCTTGGTGCAAGCAACCAGGTCTGGTGCCAGGAGGAGCACTGCTCATTTCTTCATGCATTCCATGCTCTCTCCTGCTACCACCGGTTGCCCTCCTAGCCCACAGGTGAGCCTGCAGCTCTCTTGTTTCATCAGGCTCACAGAGCTCTGCAATACAACCCGGCCAGAGCTGGGATGGGGCTCTGCGCATCCATCCCCACGATGGGAAGGGCAGACATCCCCAGTGGTCACAATGGAGCGAGCCCTTCTCCTCCAGGTGCTGCAACAGCAAAGCACAGAGCACACCTGGGAGGGAAAGGCTGAAAGCAGAGCCTGGGTTTGGGAGGTGTGGGCACCTGCTGTTCCCACTGCCCTGCACTTGACTGCTCCGACCCTCTGATGTTGGACCCTGGGCACTGGAGGTTCTCCAACACTCAATGGTTGGCATCCACAATGCTTGCTGCAACCTCGTGGAAGAGTAAACTGTGCCAAAAGCTGCTCTCATTTCCAGCTACAAAAACCCAAAGTCACTCCCTGGACCGCTGGAAACACTGCTTCCATGAGCAGACATGGAAACACAGGGGCTTCATCTCACTGTGCTCCAATGGCCATCGGGCTTCCAACCATCGGGCAAACCTGACTGTTGTCTCCTTATTGCTCCCAGAGAAAGAATAAACTTCTTTGTGCATAGAAACACCTCCTCAGTGAGGGCTGGCGGAGGTCTGGGCCCATGTTGCTGCTGTCCTGCACAGGGCTGCCCTGTGGGTGCCACTGCTCACGCCGGTCTGATTCTACCTGCAACACATCCTAATTAAGGAATCATTATTAAAAAACCAGAATTTGCATTCACTGAATGTGTGACTAGGAGAGACACTGCAAACAAACAGAAAACCTGCAGATTAGGATGCTAATGAAATGCATTTCTATTTATAATCTGCCTTGATCAAGCAAAAGTGTTTTCTGTTTCAGGTGTCAGTGCTACTCCCACAAATATAAGTAATTCCCTTGGCAGGGAAACACCTGCCTGCCTCCAGAGATGGGCATGGGCTGGGTAAGGTGCTGTGCTGGAGCCAAGGGAGGAGAGAAGGAAGAGAACAGAATGAGGAGAGAAAGAGAAAGATGAAGAGAAGAGGGGGAGGAGAAGAGGAAGAGGAGAGGAAGAGGAGAAGAACAGAAAGAGGAGAAGAGGAAGGGAAGAAAAAGAATAGAAGAGGAAGGGAAGAGAGTCCAGGAAGGGAAGAGGAAGAGAAGAAAGAGAACTTGACGATGTGAAAAACAGCGACGGCATTGTTTTCTTAAAGGCAGCTTGAAGAAAGCAAGTTAAAAGATGAGTCATCATTTTGAAACGTTTATCAAACAAGTTAAATAACTCTTTCTTTCTTAACGACTTATTAATCAAACTGCATTGATTCCTGAATCAGATTCCACCACCACCAAGCTCTCTGCCTTCTCCATCCCGATGCACGCATTAACAGAGTTTTATTCTGACAGATACAATATAGCAATCAATAAAATCTTATTATATGGAGCTGAGATACGTGGATTTGTTGCAGGATTTATGCATTACTTCCAGGCCCGGTGCTATTTCATGTCTCAGCCTTAACCTGTAATTGAAAATGAATCTCTCTGAATGCACCAGATTCTGATTTTCTGGAAGTATGGCAAACATGAATGGAAGCACCTTCCTGGGGGGCTCAATGCTTTCCTTGGGGGCTCAGCACCTTCCTGGGGGCTCAATGCTTTCCTTGGGGGCTCAGCACCTTCCTGGGGGTCTCAATGCTTTCCTTGGGGGCTCAGCACCTTCCTGAGGGGCTCAGCACCTTCCTGGGGGTCTCAATGCTTTCCCTGGGGGCTCAGCACCTTCCTGGGGGCTCAGTGCTTTCCTTGGGGGCT